CTCCTCCGCTTTAACTAACAGATCTCGTAAGATGGTACTCTAGTAGCGTTCATATATCATGGAAGTTGCGCACACGAATGTGGATCGGTATAATTCGCCATCATCCTGATGGTATCGTAAAAGTACGTTTTATGCTATTTTCGTGGACATGTGAAATACTGAATACATATTCCACCCAAGTGCCCCCAGCGAAGCGATTCAAAGTATTGGGCATTGTGAAGAGCGACCTCTCTGTTCAACTATGTATATAACCTCGACGTCTGTCTAATACAAATTCAGTTTCACAAATTAGCTTACCATAAGGGCGCCATCTGTGGCAAACATAATCGTTGTATATAAAACCACATGCTCCAGTTGTAGTACAAAAATATGGTTATTTTAGTAAGATTGAACTTTTAGTGGACATTTCGTTTTTGATTCATGTGACATTAAAAGTGGTATTTACAAATTATTACTTGTTAAATATATATATAATTTTATATATATACTCGAAATAGGTACTGGTTACAGCCCGCAGTCTGAACATGGTTTCTAACTTGACAATGGTGTTATCAAGCGTCGCGTACTTCACCGAAGTTCGAAATTTGCGACTGCTCAGTCAACACTCAAAACGTCGTATGACTTGTATCTTTTAAAACAACTGGGTTTATAATCATAATCAAAGAGGGCGACATACACACGCCATCTGTCAACTCTTCGGCGGGGTGCTTGTTTGGTAATCAAACAGGTTTTACATTCACTAAACAAACAAATAACTGTCATTGTGTAGTGGAGCTGTCAACAATGTAAGAACAAAATCCGCCCCACCGTCGCTTTTTTGTTATGAAAAATGAACGACAAAGGTGCATTGGGAAAGACGATTGTAAACTGTTTCTTTCAATGGGTGATTGGTGAGAGGCGGCTGAGGTGGGGACGAATAAAACTAAATGAATAGAACTCAATTCACGTCAGTGGAGGGGCGTACAGGGTATGCGCGTGAAGCACTGCGCACAACGCAAACATCGATCTTCGACCACAGCAGCGAGAGCTAACAAAGACTGTTGAACGTACCGAGGTCGTCACTACTCCCGGTCGTTACTGCGAAGACATTGTGGCATTGTGTCTGTATGCACGAGCATCTTCGTCTGGAATTCTAACCGAAATGAAACGACATACATCGATAGAGCTTTTCTCTGTAAACAGGTAATGTACATGATAGTATGTTCCTAAAAAGGAAACGTTTTTTTTTTAACACAGGGCCACATAGAGAAAGTGTAAAACTGATTTACATGAAAACGATTAATCGATGGGAAAATTGGGACAATACACACCAGTGTTGAGGGGCTGACCCTAACAACTATTTCCCCTCGAACTAACTATTTTCTGTATAGATTGTCTGAAGTTAAATCGGTTGGCAGTTTTTCGACGGAAAGATACAATAGAAAGTGGTTTAAAGGGGCATAGAAACCCGATACAAAGAAGCAAACAACAGAACACAGAAAAGACCGAGCTGAGTGTTATGGGTGGTAGTTGAAGTTCCAACGTAAATAACGGTGGATCTAGTTACGAAAACGACAACAATTTATCGGTGCAATCTGAATTTGTCGTAAAAATTTCAAAACATTAGAGAGGTTCTTTGGTATAGTGAACAATGAGTTGTGTGTCAGTGCGTGAATCATGATTGTGACAATAACCTGTTTCGTACTATTGTCTGCCGCAAGCTTCAAAATAACTATTATAACCAAAAATTAACCCTATTTAAGGAGATGTTTATTGTCTGCATACATTGTGGCGTGTTTATTTTCAACGGCGCAATTGTCAAAGTGTTGATCAAGTTTTGAAGTTAATTCCATGATACGTTGATAAGATGCAAACTCGATTTGAAAATAAAAGACTGAAGGGATTTGATGTAGTTCCGTTTATTTTATAACGTTTAAGGTTATTAATAACAACTTTTGATGAGAACAGATTATTTCCGTTGTCTATGACACATATATGACTTAAAATATAAAAAAATCGAAACCTAAAATTGAACACAAGTATGAGAAAAAAAAAACGTCTGTATTGTGTGATATAGTTTCTTCTGGGCATTTTGCCTGAAAACGAGTTATTATTCCATTTTGACTGTCAAAGCACCAATAACACCGCGTATGTCGACTTTCCCCGGTCTCACTTGTCTATACAACGCAAGATGATCGTACCGTAGACTTTAGCTCTATATATAGTTATACAGAACTCCCGCGGCCGGCAGAACCAATAAGTTATTTTACAACACCACGTGAAAAGGATGGTAATTTGCGGAAAACTCGGGCCAAGCAAGATCACGAGGCTTAAAAGGCCGCATTCGTGACAGAGAATGAATCCAAATAATCGAACGCTGATTTCAAAGCACGAAGCTTTCATCTCATAACAACTAATGGGGGATGAAAGCGGCCGCCTATACGTGGTTGCATGTCCTAGTAGAATACCGGGACACAATAACGACGTGGCAAACTTGTCCGTTCAGTGCCATAGTCTTGAGGGTCGGAAAATAATTGCCGTTTCCATTACACGCTACCAATATGTGTTTATTATAAATAGACAGAGACAACAGAGGTCTGGTCCATCTTGATTTGTACAGAATCCCGACTTGAACTGGGTCAGTGGTCGCCATCATACAGTCGATTACAAAGCAGTGTTGTCGTTTTTTTGTTCGTTCTAAATCGCCGCTGTGTTTTGCAAGCATGGGATACCTGTTCCATGTCGCGCTTCAGGCCCTTTGAATCCACGGTACAGTGAAATGGCCGTAATGGCGCAAAACTGCTTGTTCCGCTTGCACTGTCGTGAAATGTACTCTGTTCACAGAATGTGCAATCGTTTAGTTTCTTAGGCCGACCATGCCGAACTGTCATGGCGTAACCGAGTCTTATTTACCGCGCCAAAGTACTTACAATTTACTGCTCGTCCAGGGCTCGCCGGTTCCGCAACCACTATATTGTACACTACGTCTTAGTGTAGTGTTTTGCTCGCAAGAACTCCAGTACAAATTATTAACGATAGTAGTAAGAAAATAGGCGACAATTAAAATAAAGCTCGGTAGTGAGAACAAAAGTGAAATCGACAATAATTTCATAGGATTTGTCATCCCATGATTTTTAAACGGCAATCCATTCAACAAGCACACCTAAAAATCTAAAATCTATTTTTGATGAAACAGAATTTAGTCGATCCTTCCAAAACTTCTCCCGTTAGTTAGAATTTGTTGAATTTTCTCACTGCAATTCCCCTTTTTAAAAGCTAGGTTAAATTACACCCTTTCTCATCTCAGATGAATTGGAATTTAACGGCACCATTAGCTTACTGTAGCGTGTTAATTGCAAAAGGCACCAATATACCGGACAGGATTCAAGTTT